TTAATACTACAAGCGTGGCTGGAGTTTTATATTTATATACCCCAGGTTTGATGTTCCAACCCAGTAGTTTTATGCAGGAGCCTGATGTTTACATCTCGCCACAACCATGCATCTTCTCATTCATTTTAACATCATGTGCTTTAGTTGCCATTAAACGTAATTCAGAGTTTTCACATTTGTCCACTGTTAACGTTCTTTGGTGAACACTTGAATACTTTCATAAAGATCGCATACAATGATTTTATGACACTTATTTCAGTTTGACATAAATTAAGAAGGGTGTGATGTGATTGTTGTGCAGATATAACATCTGTAATCAGTGTTTGTTGAAATAGGAGAGTGATGGCAAAGGTTTCAACTTAAATACCCAACCAATGTAGGTAAAGCAGCTATTGTACTAAAATATGTTATTCTGGATTTAAGTTACTGTGCAACATTCTGATTAATGTAACATTATGTAATTTAATGAAAATATTTTTTTACTTACAGGATTGCCATTTTTGTTATTTTTAAAGCTTTGGGTCGTCTGAGTGACAAGCCTCAAGAGAGATTTTAAGTTTTATCTCTGTTATTCTGATGAAACTGTGGACTGAAGCCAAGAAACGCTGCAGCACACAGCCAGTGATTAGAGCTGTATGAAACAACAGCGTCAGGATTTGGCACATTAAATTACTTAAATCTGAAATTGACTGATTTGGAGACCTACTCATCATAATGTGGCTGTATTGCACAACACTCCCCCTGCAACCCCTCACACCCCAGACTGAGTCTAGTTAAATACAACTCCAGTTGTGTTTTTATGCAAAGGACTGTGGTGGCTGGGGTGTGAAGGGTTGCAGGGGGAGTGTTGCGCAATATGGTCATGTTGTGATGAGTCAGCATGAGTGGTTTCATTCAGGTTTCCAGCCTGGGAGTTTCTATTGTGTTTTGGTTAGTCATGATGCTAACATAGCCTACTCTACCTTAGCACCAATTCTACCACCATTATGTCGGCAGTGAGAGATAAAAAAAACATATCTTCCAGTATTAATGAAAATGCATGGCATGTCATTATGGTGCTCTAACTGTAGCCCAAATTTGACAGTGAATAGCAGTGAAAGCTCATGCTAACAAGGTAAACAAAAGACCCTTCTTCCCGTGGGCATACGAGTTCTGACTGTCCCCCATATGTGATTGGTCAATGCCTCACCTTTGCTGGATGATTTACATTTTGTGGACTTGCATTTTGTCCCCATAAGGATGTCGAGTCCCCAAAGTGTGAGTGTGTAAACAAATTTATGTCCTTACAACTTGAGTAATACCAGTCTACACACACCGTTTTGTTGTATCACACAGAGTGAAGAATAAGACTTCAGAGCAAATCACTGAGTAGACAGCTGGCGGATGTTTTATTTTAAAGGCTAAAAATTTGTTGAATAAATGTGTTCGTTCTACTCCCCATATCTCATTCACCCACACACACACACACACACACACACACACACACACACACACACACACACACACACATGGCAGTAAGTTTAAAGCGCCATAATCCAAAAAAGAATATCCTGTTTGGTTTCAGGCAGCAACTGAATGGAACAGTCAAAGAGCAGAGCTATGGGAAAGACTGTCTGCAGCTGTAGACAAAGAAGAAAAAAGCCATTTCTCACTATCACTGGGTTATATTATTGCTGGACTGTGGCCCTTTCCGCCTGGTTTCTCCTCATATTGAGCTGTAACTCTGCACACATACGTACAGCACACACATTTAGTTAGCTGGGGAGGTGCAATGCAGGAAGACAGAATGCTGCAGAGAACATGAAGGAAGGGGAAATCTATTGCCCTAAGGAGCTGAATTTCTCTCTCTTTCTCTCACCCCCCCCCCACACACACCTTAACCCTCAAAAAGGTGTTTCACAAAGTGAGGGTCTGTACAAGAACACACACACACATACATACAGAGAGTGAAAGGGAAACCTCTGTTTTGAAGGATGGGTCAGAGTATGGGGACCTCTGAAACAGCAACACTGACACTGACCCCAGGGCTAAATCAAATCCAAGGTTGTCCTGACTGTCAGGTGAATTGAATGTATTAGCCTACTTAACCTAACAATAGTAAATTACAGCTGTATGGCAGGAAATGTAAAGGTGGGAAGAGAAAATATACTGCAGAGGGAAAGGGTTAAATGCATGACTGCATATTTACTGTACAAAAATTATTACAATGGGGAATGAGATTTAATCTTCCTTCTCACAAACTTGAAGTTAGTGACCATGTTTCATCAAGCATGTAGTTTATTCTCCCATAAGTTGTATTTCCACACATTTGTGTCCCAGTGCATTAAATGAAAATGGTTTCATATTTTCCTAAATTTGTGTAAAGTCTTTTACATAATTGAGTATGAAGAGCTGTGCTTCTGTTTTCTGAGGAAATAAGCTATTGTTTGTCTCCAGGTTGTTGCTGCCCATGTCAGAGGACATTTAGCTTCTCCATGTCATGCCACAGAAAGACTTCAGAGGGTCAGACTGCTATTTGATGCTTCCACTCACAACGAATGGCAGTCTGTCACATCTCCATTATAGCACAGCAGTGCGTTGTGCTAATTGGCAACGTCAGCATGCTATCAATCACAACGCTAACATTCTGATGCTGTATAATGTTTACTAAGGTCATCATCTGAGCTTATCACGTTAGCATGCAAACATTTGCTAATACCACTTGGCACAAAGTACAACTGAGGCTGATTGAAATGTCACTAGTTTTGCAGGCATATAGATACATATAACATCTGACTACCCACCATAATTCAATCAATTGTATGAGTTTGAGTTGCATAACTTTGCAAGTTACCCTGATGTGTTTTCACACACACACACTCCCTCAGTGCAACAAGTTAACTTTGGTGAAGAGGTATTTATAGCCACTTTTTTCTCCACTTGCTAAATACACAAGAAACCTGACTAAGTACAGCCAAGACTGATGAGCCTATTTTCAGGATCTGCTAGAAGATAATTACTGGTACCTTACAATATTCTGCAAAAGTGTAACTGTATTTTGTGACATGTTATACTGCTAAAGATATTCATATTTCTTAAAAAAACAAAACAAAAGCCAAACAAACAAACTGAAAATCCACAGTGTTAGGGGCACGTTGATGTTGCAATAACACAGGAGATCCCCACCCCTCACCCTCCAGTCACACTCAAGAGGTTCTATTGTGACAGAGGTGTAATGAAGCCACTCAGTTCCAAGACAATTGAGTGTAAATGCGGTCGTAAGAATAGTTTGTGAGTGGAGGAGCTGCCTCTTTAGCACTTATCCCTCACTAAAAGGAACAAGCTGGGATATGTGTGTTTGTTAAAAGGAATGGATTGGAGTTACAAATACTGACTGTGAGGTTACAGCTTTTGAGAATTTTTATTCCACGGATATTGTTGCTTAGTAAAAAGTTTAATGTGTGTTTTAGTATCAGTACTGAAATATTCACCTTAGCTTGGGCTTAGAAACTATATGTTTATAATCAAAAGGCTGCATAACAAAGTGGTGATGTGGAGTTTGGGTAATAACCTTATCCTCTGCATCATAAATATAATATTCAATATATAAACATGAAAAACTGTTTATAACACACTAAACTCCCTAGTGCGCCCAACCCATCCTCCAAACCTCCTGCTGCTCATTTCAAGCACTCATTTTACTCTTCTCCACGCCAGACAAAAATCATGTGTCTGCATCTCACATTGCATTGCAGCAGGCCTCTCCCAGCAACAGATAAGGCAGCAACATTTTGGCCAGCAGTCATAAAGCTGAGCAGTGTTGTTGGTGCAGAGGTGCCTGGATGTCGCCATGGCGGCAGTAAAGCAGCGGTCTTGTTGCTGACAGGTCTGTATTTTCCCCAACAGTGCGGCCAATTCGGACCCAGCCGCCATAAAGTAGAGTTGGAACACAACCTTTGGTCGACAGTGTCAGCTTAAACAACTGGGAGAAGCACACACCCTTCTTGTACACACACATATGAATTCACATGCACATGTACATGACTGTGTGCATTGCAGCTTAAATGAGCATGGGCAAATAAATCTTTGCTAAACATACATGCAAATGCACAAACATCTTTGCATTCATGCCCAGAAGAGCTACGCACGTATCTGAATTAGAAAACACAAAATACTGTTGTGAATGTTAGATAATACAGTTACTACTGAAGGGGCTTTGTGAAAACAGAGGATGTGTAAGGTGAAATGAACTAACAGTTTAAATTTCAGAGCCTCCTGTTCAATTCCACCACTATGCTTGAGCAGGAGGTAAAAAGAAAGTACATGTGAGCCACTTGTCACACCACCAATGAGGCTGCATGAAATGTTGTTAGCAAATGAGCAGAGAAATTGGGATATTTAGCTAGAATGATTAGATAAAAGGTTGAAAGAGATAAAAGAGTTCAAAAGCTAAAATAAAAATGGAGGCTATACAGTTGAACATTGAAATATAAATGTATCAACAGTGAATTGTTGGCTATGGATAATCAGTTGAAATAGCTAAAAATAATGTTTAAGCAGGTGAAATGCTACTTGAGAGTAATGGATAACTGGCTGAAACAGCTAAAATAATTTATAATGCTTTAAAGGCTGCAATAGAAAGCTCTAAATGATGGATAAAGGGTTAAAAAGTCCAACATAAAACAGTGCAAGTGGCAGCTGTACAAATACAAAGTTCACCATCTGACAAAGCAGATGTAAGAAAAAAGACTAGATCTACTTCTAGCTAACTGACAGTATTATGTAACATCCAGTTTATGATCCATTTACAAGAATGTTTTTGGGAACCACTGAAATATGACATGAAAATCCATATCTGATAGTGTCAGGAAGATATTTGTTAAATTCACTCAAAAACAAATGTTTATATATCAAATATATGCATTGTGAATCAGTTTATTAACCTGAATAGATTTTTCAAAGAGCCTTGAAAAATAAAACAAAAGCAGAGAGTTCTTAAGAACATAACAATAAAATTCCCTTATATATCGACAAAAACAGACAATAAAATTAGATTATGTTTATAATAATTTCACACATTTTGTTTTGCCTTCTTTTTTTGAAAGGAAAAATGGAGTCATTGCACTTTCATTAATGTCAAATGCTAAAGCAGTAAAATAATACACTTCTGATATGTGTTCTGGTCATGACTTACCAATGAATCATCCAAGCTGTAGTTTATATCTGCCACGTCAAATCACTCCTTTAATCTCAGCATCATAACATAGAAGCCATACAACACACCGGCCCTTCAACAACAGTGAGCAGTGGGTTCTAACAGGCTAGTTTTATTGTCCACAATGACTTTTAACTATCCTTATCTCAACATAAATAATGTGCCTATAAAGGTTAATCATCTACGTGTTGGTAATGAGACATGTTCAGCAACCATAAAAGAGGTATTTTCTGTTCATTTTCTTGTTTTACTTGTTGAAGCGTTTCCCTTCATGCCCAGAAAGCAATGGCAACTATGAAGACTGAACTAAAACTTAATAAAACTAACAAGGAAATCAGTTGTCAGCCACAATAAAGAGTGTAGCCACGTCTTTTTACATTCTGCTTGATTGTCTTTGCATTGGTGTATTTGATGAAGTGTTTCTCCAGAAACAGGAGATTTATTATAGTACAGCAATAGGTAGTTGATGCCATCCTGCTAAGTAACTGTGGAATCCAGATCAGGAGAGCTGGCGGCAGTACTGCTTCAGCTGTGTTCTTTGCTCCGGCTGAGTGAGTCAGAGAGTGCACACTCGTCCTTTTGTAAAACCGGGTAACTGCAGTCTGGGTACCCTGCGTTCTCATGACGTTAAAGTATCTGCAGCTCCACAGTCATGAGGGACAGTTACAGGATGGAGAGGTGGCCCCCGTGATGAAGTCAAAGCGAGCTGTCGTGTCAGATTGGCAGTGTCGGTCGTGGCTGTTCATGCTTGAGTCAGAGCGCACCACGAGTTCTGTGGAGCCATGGAGGTAGGGGTAAAGGGATAATCCTCATATTTAATGTCCACATGTCCTGAGCCTGTGCTGTCTAATTGAGAAGCCGTCTGCAGAGCAGGAGAGATAGATGCAAGATTATTAAAACCATATTTAGAAAGGGTTATTAATTTAAAGAGTCACTCCACTGATCCTGATGATATCATCAGTGTTATTTTAAGTTAAGGTCTTGTTACACCCACAGCTGAAATGGTCAGTTTGTTGCTGCATAATCAGTCCATTCTGCAGGAATCAGCTGTTATTTCAGGAGCTGTTGCATCAAATTCACAGGTTGAGTTTTGACATGCAAATATGTACTGGTGACAAATAGCAAGCTGCTGTGACAGTGTTGACCTTTGAAGAGCAGAGAGCCCAGAGACCAGAATGGAGCAGCTTGTTAGCCGTGTTGCACTGCTCACTGTTTTTTAACCTCCTCTACTGGAGAGTAACCTGCTCATAATCATTTGTAGAGAATTTACATGCTGTTTTTCCTGCTCTTTGTAGCTTAATATGTGAGAAGAAAAAGATCATGTAAACAACACAACTGCTAGCCTCTGGAAAAATCCACCAGTGCTGTTTTTAGCCAGTAGCTAAGAATCTTTAATCTTACTAAAGTGTAGATTAGCATTAAAGGGATAATCCAAAGAATTTCACAAGATTTGGGGACCATCATGGACTTCCTGAAAAAGTTCCAAGAAATGTATTAATTTCAAAGTTGTGACTTAAGTAAATTAGACAAATTATACACCATCACTACTTCAATGTTTTCTTTTTTTCTTATAAGTTTGTTTAACTAATCTTGTACTCTGTATATTTTGTTTCTTTGGTTGCAAATTTACTTGTACAGTATATTTGTATAGCCTGCATACTGTACAGGTACTGTATATGAGTGTGCATAAATGTGTATATATCAAGCCTGGTTTGTTTTTCTTCTCGGATCATGTTATATAGCAAAGAGCTATGGGACAAGAGTTGTATCTCTCATCTCAATTCATCTCCTGTATTTTGTTTGAAACTCTCAGTTAGAGCCTTTTCATCCCCTTTAATCATCCTTTATTGAACCGACGGATGTAAAATCCTGAGAACAAAACGCTTGTACAGAGTAGAGAGCTCAGTACGGAGAAAACCGAACAAAGCCAGTACTATGCTGGCTGACCACTTCTCCAGCTACAGCAGTTATCTGACTATCAGTGCAAACACCAGACATCTCTCATCTCTAAACTCCTAGAACCCAATACTGTGTGAAGATGTGCAGATCCATTTGGCTCTGACTTTCAGGAGTGACCAGACCTTTATGCTTGAAACTTAAAATAAAGTCTAAAAGTACTTCTTTGCTTCTTTCAGCTAAGATTATTAGCAAAGGTCAAGCACTTTGTATCATTCAACGACTCGGAAAAGGCAGTTCATGCATTTATCAGCTCAAGGATTGACAACTGTAATGCTCTGTATGTTGGGATCTGTCAAACATCCCTGGCCTGTCTTCACTTCACTTGGTCTAAAACGCAGCTGCTCCTCTTTTGATACATGTAAATGTAAGCACACAGTAACTGGCATTCTCATTTCCCTTCACTGGCCTCATTAATTTCAAGCTTTTATTTTTTGCTTTAAATACACTGCATGACTTGGCACACTTGTACATCTCAGAGCTCTTATATCATCACATGCCGGGTAGCTCTCTTAGGTCTTCAAATCCATTGCTTTTAGAGGTACCCAGGTCCAGACTTAAACATTGTGGTGACCAGGCTTTTGCACAGGCGGCTCCATGATTGTGGAACAGCCTTCCACCAGACATTCGGTCTGGTTGTCTTTCACTCTCTTCTTAAAACTTATTTATTCAGGCAGGCGTTTATCAGTGGCATGCACTGGGGCGTCTATATGCCAGTGGTGTTCAAACCTTTTGTGCCCTAGAGACACCAAAGCACAAGCCAAAAACTCAAGGCACACTTGTATCCATGTCCATGGAAAATAGCCTCTATACCAGGTTATCAGTCTCGTCACTCTATAAACATTTATTTTCATTTACTTATGACAAATAAAATGAGTGAGTGAGAGAGGAAAGGTAGATCTGGCATGATATGGAAGCATCAAGATGTAATCAGTCCTTACAGACCAAACTAACACAAGAGATGCACTGGGAATAAAAATTAATCTGCAATTAAACAGTAAATATATTTCAACAGGGAAGAGTATGAACTGAGTTGGAATAAAAATGTAGCCTAATATTGTAAAGAAAAGAGATGCACTGACAATGGAAACTGGTTAACACTGAGCAGAAAGGAAACATTTTAATGTAACTTAAATGTAAACCAGCATTCAAACATTTGCTATTATAAATATTGTTTCCTACTTACAAGCTGTTGGTACGTGCAGATTTTTTACATCCGTGGTGGTACTGAAGAGAGTGCATCTGGATCTAACATGACACCTGCAATTTTTTCGGCAAGCAGGGAGGATAAATGCCTCCACTGCAATGTGAGATTTCATCTACTTTGCAATAAGCTCTGCTAGCATATAACTCCTTCGCGTTACCACATAATTTCACACAATCTCACAACCAGCTTTGCTGCCTCTGGTGTACATTTCATGCTCTTAGGCCATGTTTCTCTCAGCATAGAAGGGATGTTTGGTGAAGTGCCTCTTCAGCTTCCTTGGCACCATGTTAGCATTAGCGTTAGCTAACTTCTCAGACGCACTCAGGCTGAGGGCTGTTGAGGTCCGCGGTCAAGCTGAAGCCATAGGACGGGCAGCTTTCATGATACTATCATCCAACAGTTCTTTTTCTCTTTTCTCAAGGAGATTCTTTTAGTCTATAGGATTTGCCTCTGAATTGGGAAATGAGTGCTTACGAAGTATATAGTAAATTAAACATTCATTCATAACTTTTTGTATTGTTGTATCCCATAATACTAATGTATGGTTGTCACAAAAATCCCATGGTACACCTGGACTTGCCTCACTGTACACCTTGTGTGCTGTGACACACCATTTGGGAACCACTGCTGTGTTATTGTGATTTATGTGGTGATTTGTCTTTTTGGTTTGTGTTTATTTTGTTTAGTCTTACTTGTTTGTTGCTCCTGTTTTGCTCTGATTTTGTTTTTATCCCACCATGAAGCACTTTGTAACCTAGGTTTACAAAGGTGCAATATAAATAAACCTCTGCTGCTATTGCAGCATCATTCTACTAGCATCCATTTAAATCGTTACCTATTCAAAGACCCCTGACTACATAACAGCACAATGAAATACTTGTTGAACACATACGTTACTGTACACTTGTTATGGCATGTGTATGAAAGGAGGCTTACCTGAGTGGCGGATGTGACTGTCTGTCCAGCGTAGGGTGAAGGGGCCAAGCTGGGCTCACTCTTAATGGTGGAGGCATGTTCTGAGACAGAGAGGGAGGCTGGGGAGCTGGTGTCAGAGGTGGTGGATCCTCCTGAAAAATCAACAGGATGGTCACATGAGTTACTGGACTGAAAACTAACCAGCCTGCCGAGACACATGACTTGCACTGATTCTGATTTATAAGCACTTCTACACCTACTCACAATTTAAAATATTCAATTATTTTACTGTCAGCACATTTGTGGCAGTTCAGAGTAAATCCAAAAGCGGATTCTGATTTAGTTATTTATCTCTACTTCCATTTACTAAGCTTCATTCTACCCTCTCTTATACCTGTGGATGTTTTATTCTTGGGCATCTTGGGTTTGCGCTTCCTGGTCTGAATGCTCTCTTTCTTCATGGCCAGAGGTCTGGGCACCTGTAGGGAGTAGAGTAACACACATTAGTTAACTGTACCTCCCAGTCCCTGATACAGCAGAGGCCACAGTGCCATGACAATACACACAAGCTCCCCTCCCACGCTGCTGCTCTGATAACAATGACCACAGTGCCCTTGGAGAGCTTTTACACAGGGCAAATAGCAAAGTGCTCCCTCTTATAGCGCAGGAGCTGTTTTACAAACATAAGTTAGTGTGAAGGACAGGAGCGGTTTGAAGAGGAGACATAAAGGTGAAGCAGAACAGATTAAAACTATCTAAGGCAGTGCACCCATCCCCTGTGGTGACCTACCCCGTGCAGCTTCATGTAGAGGCCACAGGCATTACACACAGGCTCTCCCTCTGCGTTGCGCCTCCACAGTGTGGTGGTGCTGGTGTGGCAGTTGGTGCAGCACAGGCCAGCCCGGCGGGACGTGGTCTGCTGTAGGTCCAGCAGGGAGGAGAGAAGAAGTTGACATTTGAATGGAAAACCGCATGACTAATTTCAAGTGCAGTGAGAAATGGTGCACATATTCTATGGCTTGGGAAAGCTTGGTAGCACTAATGAATACCTAAGCTCCTCCCAAAAAGTCCAATAGTTGTGCAACCTTTAAAGACAACACAAATAATTAGTTCTCGCTTAGACCATATTGTGACAGTCACAATAGTCCACAAGCCCACAAGTGTGGAGCAAAAGCACTGTGCAACAGCAGAGTCACATTGCTCTGGAGAGAGCTAAAAACAGCCCATCCAAGGGCAAGGTCGCAGCAGGACAAATAAAAACAGAGACAACAGCCCGGTTGTGGAAGGAGATTGTTGGGCATTTCACAACCACAGCTGTGACGGAGAGCCGAGTTTCTGGGAAACACACAGCTGTATAGCCTTGACAGCCCCCACATCACACCAGCACAGAGCGTTTCCCAGTTTCTAAATGCTATCTAAATAGGATACTAGAGCCGGGAGGTAACGTATTTTACATCTATAAGACAAATAAAACATTTGCTATTCAGCTTACTTATGGTGTATTATTTAAATATCAACATGGCAGATATTCAGATCACTTGAATAAACCAGAGCCATCAGTGATGTTATTGGTAATAGCAGTGCGTCTCCTACTAGGACAAGTGCCTGCTGTGAAAAAGATAACTGCAGGCACAGTCTGTATAGTGCATCACGTTAAGCTCAAGGAGACACACACACACTGAGATAAACAAGCTCCCTTAAAGTATATTTACTGCAACTTTTTGACCAACACAGTCTTCATCAGCTGAGCTCGGACTCTTTTAATCTGCAATATAATTACAGCTGTCGAGCAGTGTAGTATTTAAAACACGTAACATTTCCCTCTGAAATGTAGTGAAACAAAACAGGAATACTGAAGTAAACCACCACAAAGTTATACTTACAGTGCTCGAGTGCATGTACTTACCTTCCACTACTGTCAATATATAATTTAAAATTCACCTACAGCCTGATGCTTATCACTTTACCCCTTTGTTTGCTTCCTGTGTATTTTCGAATGATTGAGTATTTATACTATATTGAATGAGTAGGAAAAACCTGCCTATATTTATTATACCAGTAATTTATTTTCTTTATTTTGGAAACGTTTTGCTTTAATGCACATTAATATATGTGACCCATGCAACTGGAATCAGTTCTATTTACATTCTTTAATGTTGCCTTCACTACACACAAGTAGTAATACCACGTGTAAAATACTATTTTAAGTAACGAGTTGTGTTCAAAATATTGCTGTAAGTAATAAGTACCCTTTACACAGAATAGCTCCTTTAGAATGGTGTATTATTAATATTTGAACATTTTTGATGCATTAAGATTTAAGAAACATGTTAATATTTTAGATGAAATGGAGTGGAAACGTTTTGCTTTAATGCACATTAATATATGTGACCCATGCAACTGGAATCAGTTCTATTTACATTCTTTAATGTTGCCTTCACTACACACAAGTAGTAATACCACGTGTAAAATACTATTTTAAGTAACGAGTTGTGTTCAAAATATTGCTGTAAGTAATAAGTACCCTTTACACAGAATAGCTCCTTTAGAATGGTGTATTATTAATATTTGAACATTTTTGATGCATTAAGATTTAAGAAACATGTTAATATTCTAGATGAAATGGAGCTAATTGTAATGTTGACTTTTTTTTTTTTACTAGAACTTCTCATATTTAATCTCACTGATCAGATGTTTCACATGAAACATCCTAAATGACACATGGCTGCAGTGGCGTTTTCCCTCTTACATCATATATATAGTGCAAATACTTTAAATGTGTAAGCGAGTAAAGGTCTTTCAAATATCAATCACTAATCGAAAAACGCCCCTGTGTCTTTGTGTGCGTCTTACCAGACGTTTTTGTGGTTTGATGAGCGGCCTGTTGATGCCGTTCATCTTGTGGTAGAGGCCGCAGGCGTTGCACAGGTAGTGTCCGGTGCCGTCCCTGCGCCACAGCGGCGTGGACACGGAGCCGCAGTTGACGCACTCTCTGCCCTCAGCGGTCATGTCGTCCATCAGCTCTGAAAAGACATGCACTTCCTTTAATCTGTGTAACATAGAGAGCATTTCATAGTAGCACCACTAGCCTACTCTTTGCAGATCGCTCGACGTGCTATGGAAGGCTGTATTTATTTCTAACGTCACCAGCATTTCATGAGAATATTCTGTGTTTCTATGGCACTCAGTAATGTTCAGCTGCAGTATTATGGGATCACCACAGCTCAGTCCGGCCACCACACTCTGTCAATTATCAACCTTTTATGGATTTTGGCTTGCCTATAGGCTGTTCATTTAATATTTTAAACTCCTGACCCAATCAAACTAATGTTCCATCTTTGTGTATTTAAATTTAAATATTCAATCCCTGACAGAGAACAGCTAAATGTAAAATCATAATCAGGAATAAATAACATTCCTGTTCACCAGATTTTCTTCTGAACTTTAAAAACCCGAGCGGGTGTACATGGGTGGTTCTGGTTACGAGCCAATGCATGATAGATAGCCAGCGGAGGAATTTAAACCCCCTCTATTTCCTGTGATAAAGTGACATCGACCCCCCCTTGAATAGGGAGACAGACTTGCGGAGGAATCTGTTTGGAAAGGGGTGGGACGGCGTGTTATCAGCCCGGGGAATCCAGGGGTCTCCTCCATCCATCACAGCTCTGACGCACGACGGACTCCTGGCATTAATTGCCCAAATTCCTAATCCCTCAATATCGAGAGAGAGGCGACAGCGCTGGTCACGATAGGTTTGAACTGGAGCTGCGCTGCTTTCTTCGGACGTGCAGCTCGTATTTTTTCCAGAGGCGCAAGTTCTTGACAAAATCAAAGCTGAGCTGGTGGGACGCACCAAACTGCGCCTGCGCTGCACATAACTCACAACCTCCATTCACTTATATAAAGGCCTAAACTTTAAAGTTAACAGGCCATAAGAACGTATAAAATATCGCAATAATAAAATGGAAAAAATACTGCTAAATGAAATGAGACTGAGCACCCAGGGCTGTAGGACAGAGTATTAATGCTGTAGTAATAGGACACCACACAGAAATTTAAATAAGGACATAAGAAACGTGATATAATCTCATTGCTGAGCACTGATGTAGACTTCCACCTTAACTAAACCAGAAAGAAGCCACGGGACAAAATCAGATTAAATGAATTTGTCAAGACTCTGAGAGGGACCAAACAGCCTGAAGGCCAAATCCTCAGGCCCAAACTGCCGAACGCGACTCTCCACAAACACACAAACACTTCAACCATCAGATGTCGTTTTTCTTTGCACATCATCCGCGTCAAAGGCTTCTGCTCCTCACTTTTTTTTAATACCCACTGCAGGTCGAGTCGTTTCAGGCCTTGACAGGTCAAGGTGATAACTGCTTTGATTGTTTTGTCAGTAGATCTTTCCAGTGTTTTGTCTCCCTGTGTATTGAAAAGCTGTCATTAAAACCCTGGACTGTTGCCGGAGGATTAGATTAACATTTTAATTGATTGCTTTTAGCGACCCTCTCTTCTGAAGAATGTGTATTGTCTAAATCTAATATGGGATTGTTTAAGAGCCACTGATTGAATTTCGCCCTCCCGACGCCATGATACAGCCGTCACTGGCCTATCAGCTCTTATAATAAATAACAACCGCACCTGGCCTTTACTGCCCGTGATAAACGAAATCTGAAAAAACAACCACTGACACGTTGCTGGGCAGAGCAAGCAAGTAAAAACACAAGGCCACGGCAGGATCAGGATATTCTTAAAAACGATTTTCAGCTGCGATAAAACAACAGGCACATTGCCTAATGTTGATATTTTGAAGCTTAAAATTAAACAGCCATGGTGGTAAAATTAAGTCAGATGAATTCGTTATCAATGTGCGATTTGCAGCTTTTTAAGGAAAAGGCCTATAATGGAGCGGGCAAGTAGTCTGATTCCAAATGCTATTCTGCACCATTTAAATAACTGGAATTCGTTAAAATCAAATAACATATTAATCAGAAATAATAAAAATTCGTTTTAAAAATAGATTTAAATATAAAAGCAGCAGGATTTATGACCAGATGAGCCGATGATGTGCTCTGTCCATGAGCAAAACAATATTTTGATCGATAGAAATGCTCCATTTTCACTCAGACATTTGCTCTGTGGGTTTTACAGAGCGGTGATGCTTCATTTCAGGGGTTGGCCTTTTGATTTGAAGTTCACTTTTTAGTCTGTAGAAGTAAAAGCATGAGGTTCGGGGCCTGTGCTTACCCAGACTGGACCTTCTCCCAGACAGACATCCCTGCCGGCCCTGCAGACTGATCACACCGCTCTCAAAGGGTCCTGGCGTCCAGGAGGACGTGGCCATCTCTGGACTCATGTATGCGTAGGGGCTGGAATAGGAGCCTCCGACGGAGCGCACCAGAGCGCCTCCATACTGATCGGCCCGAGTGCCATTTCCGAGAACCAGCGGGCTCTGGTAAGTCGCGTCCCTGCCGGTGTTGGTGCTGACTGGCGGGCTGTGTGAGTAGGAGAAGCCATGTGGAGGGTGAGGGCTACTGGGCGTGAAGGAGGAACCGTCCGTAGCAGTCTGGGGCCAGCCGTGGTGCCCACCAAGGCCATGGGACTGGTGGGGCGACTCGCAAGTCTGCAGGTAGGGCAGGGTGGGCAGCATGGCTGGGACTCTGGTGGTCGGGACGTAGACCGGAGAGCTGGCCGAGGGATGGATGTAGTTCCCGGTGTCATGCGTGTAAGGAGACTGGTTGGAGGACAAGGCCAGGCTCTGATACATTTTCACAAGTTTCCTGTTTTGAATATAAAACCGATAGGGATGATTTCTTAGTCTGCCTCAGTCCTGCGGCGGTGATACTGTCCACGCGTAAAGACTCTTCCACCCTCTTCTGAGGAATTATCCTGCGCCTTTTTGAATAACTTTAATAGTTCTTGTGGCGATTCCTGTCCTGCGGGGGGAAATTGGGATATTTTTAATAAACATGAAAACAAAAGCACCGATTCAAGTCCTTGAAGTGTAATTAAATTTCAAGGATTTTCTTCTTTTTACGTTTTCCAGCCATTGTGTCTTCTCAGTTTGTAAAATTTTAGGTGGGTTAAATTAACGCTGGCCCAAATCGCCATATACACATATACATATATACAAATTGTAAAACCTAAGAGCTTCAACAGTCACTCAGCATCAGTCATATTTCATCAGTGCCATTCAAACTGACATGAACTGGATTAAAATGACATTAACTATCGCTGATATCTGTCCACGGAGACAGAGGCGACTCTCAGCGACCCCAGATATCCTGCAGTTCTGCACCGCCTCATTAAATCATAACCATAACGGAAACCAAATCAAACAACCCAACAGATAGCGAGCGCTGCTCCATATCTGCCATGCATATATTTTCTAACAATAGTAACTCAAATCACATAAAACGTTGATAATGCTGCACAGGAGGAACACGGTTTCTTTCCAAGGGCTCTCAGTGTATTATCTCACCAGATAAGGACGGTCGGTGATAAAACAGCTTGGTCCTGTAGCCGTCCAAACTTCAACAGAGGAGCGCAGCAGGCACTCCACACAGACAGAGCCGGACGAGGGAGCACCGCGGAGCCTCCCCTAAAATCTCTTACTTTAATGCATAAAAGTTGCGCGCACTGAGCTAAGATAAATGAAACCAAAGTTGTTTTTTTTGGTCCAGGATGACTGCAGCGTTTCTCTACCTGTCGGTATATCTGGAGATAGTCACCGTCGCTGATAATTGCTGATATGGATGTGCTCCTATTCGCTCTCCTACTGGAAAATTTGTACGGGAGAGAAACACGTGACGCAGTCCGCTGCTCCGAGGTAGCCCTAGGTGGGGAGAGACGGGAGGAGGGAAGGCGGGCGGTATATGGAGCGAGGGAAGGAGGGCCCCTGGGTGCAGGGAGGGGAGGAGAGGGCCCGGAGCTTAGGGCTGAGGGGTGCAAAACAGCTAGTTATATCTGCACTTTCATTAGAAGGAAGGAAGCCACATTGGACAAATCGGCCTGAAGGAAAAAAACTAACAAACATCAGGAGGATCGAGCTTTAAATTTAAAATGACTGTAATGTAGGAAAACACTACAGAAATCAATGTGTACTACGTTCATTTAAGGCAGGCATTTACACTTTCATGTCCATCTTTAAATTTATTCATATTATTATTTATATTATTTAACAATTTCACAGGTCACACTGTCTCTGCCCGATATTAGGGTAATGAACATAGGCTGTTCCAAACTGTAATCGAAAATCAAAGCAGCCTTTACGCATAAGGGACCATAAAAGAGAAAGAGTTCTATCACATTGATTCTGTCAACGGTGTTCGGGATAAACAACCAGGTAAAGTGTATTGGAAAGAAAAAGGTTGTTGGCGCTTTTATGGTGATAAATGTGACCGAGGCCTCAGTAAAAGCTGCAGTCTGATAAGAAATGTAAGACCACAGGTTTAACTAACTAATAGAATGAGAAGTTCATGTGTCACGGGGCTGCGCAAAGGAGCAACGGGAAGTAAGTGATATGAAGGGACGAGAGCTTGGATGATGGACACTGACGGTACAATACAACAAAATAAAAAATAACAGGAAGGTACGTGTTATTATGTCACAGTCGAGTTCTCGGTTGTTCATAGAACAAACTAAACACAACAACTAACAAAATGTAATATTAATAAGAAAAATAATGACTTCTGAAGTGTTTGGGATTTTTAATTTTGAATAGTAAAAGAACGTGAAGAATTTGTCCTCCAGGCGACGGCTCTGAAACAAAATTTAGAGATAATAATAAAAATAATAATGAAATGTTACGAAAATAAATCAAATATGATGACTTTTAAAGGTGGACATTTTAACTATATTTTTTATATTTTAAAATGAAAAAATTAATGACATATTCTTAACATTTGTTAAAGAATTTTAACAAAGACTCAATACAAATAAAGAAAATCATAATTTTTTTGTCTTAACATTAGATACTGTACCGCAGCTTTGCGCCAAATGAACCTTATTTTCCATTAAAGTTTGCTAAAATACGTGACATGATGAAAAATAAAGCGCTCTGGTGAATGTCACGAGCTGCAGCACCAGCCATGTATCTGCAAATGGACTTTAATTCGATTTGTCATTTATTTAGAAACGATTTGACTCTCAAGCCATTTAACAACCAGTAACATTAAGGGCCGACACTACAAACGTGTCCTGCTTCGAGTTCATCAGTTAAATCCTTCCTCTAGCCTTTCACATCCGTGGAGGATCGATGGAGTCCGTGCGCGCGCCTCCCCTCCAGGCCCGACAGCTGCGCGCCGCGCGTCTCTTGCTGCCTCCACATGGAGTTTGTTATGCATCCGTATGTGGCCTGTTCCCTTATAGGCCACATGTTAGTTTGATGACAAACGTGTGGAATCATTTTTAAAAACTTGCTTCAAGTTGTCAAAAATATTAGAAACGTGTTTCCGTTTTATTTGGATAACAATGAATTCTATCCCATTTTAATTTCCAAGCCCCGTTCATTTGTACAACATTTGAAAGATGCCTCACTGGCGCTTTCCCTTTGAATATATTCTGAAAATAAAACAAAATAAAATGTGAAAAATGAAAATGTGACCCATGTTGAGATATTTATAGCCTACAGAGCAAACATCCTGTCACATAACAGGAACAGACTATTCACTTTGGCTCTGACACAAACTGTGCTGATAAAACATTCACTACTTCAGTGATTAATATGCCATAATAACATTTAGCAAATTTGTTACCACCTGAAATTGTTTATATAATTGGAAGTCAAACGATGCCATTTAGAAAGACTGCATTTTCCCAAATTATAATAATAAAATCCATTGCACAATTCAATGTACATCACAATGTTTATGGCGAGAAACGCTGCTAAAGCCTAAAGTTACAGCGATCATGTGGTGAGACTGTTCACACTGAGTCACATCAGTGGGCAGCAGCTGCAGCCGGTAGCGGGATAGTCGTCAGCACTGACTGTGAAATCCGTCCCGTACAAATGGAACACGTGTGACTCTTCCTTCCAGGTGTAGGTCACCTTGGTAACGGGAATCATGTTGAGATATTGACGCTGAATAGAGAGAGAGAGCGAGAGAGAGAGAGAGAGAGTTGGTCGACCAGATGAAGACGTCCCGTACAGGAATACAGAGCGCGTAAAGCGCCGCTCACCTGCTGTAAAATCCGTGACGTTGACGAAAACCTCTCTCGGTGCTTTCTCAGAAGCTTCTCTGATATCTGTGTAACTTCTGGGTTTGGGAAGCTTCTAATTGGGTAACCCTGCATCAGAAACGTCCACATCTCATTGTCTGATTGTTTCTGTGGTTACATTATATTTATTTATTAGTGCTGGCTTTTACCATGGTATTAGACTGTGTAAACACTGTGCTTCCAGACGCCATACGCAGTTTGAACTTCTGTAAACCACTGGATTGTTTAACAAAATCTTGATCTACGCTGGAAATCCTGCGGAGGTATGAAAAGGTAACAAGGTGAGTTTATTTGTGCACCTTTTAACAACTAGGCAATTCAATGTGCTGCATCATACATACAAAGGCGGAGCCAGATGATAGTTGGCTTATCTTAGCACAGGTAAACAGCGAACCTGGCGCAGTCCAAAGCTAACAAAATCCACCATCAGCACCTTTAACGCTCACTACTTAACACATTAAAATGCGTTATTGTGTGGAGTCCCTGCTGGTTGTATGGTAACCCATTGCTCCCAGCTAACAGCCCAGCACGAATCCTCCTGTTAAATTGCTGTTGTTGTTTCTAGGCTTTGGTTTGTATTTTCTTACCTTTGGACCCAGGCTGTAGAAAGGAATGTGCAACCCTACTTCCCAGTTTTAATTTTCAAGTTAAATGAATAAAATAAAATAACAAGAGACAGTGTGTGTGTGGTTGTCTGTCTCAAGAGGTAATAGAGGCATTCACTGCAGTGAGTGGAGCCTGAGGAAAGAGTTCACTGAGTGCTGCTGATCAATGCACCAAGTGTCACAGACACAAGGCGTGTCTGTTCATGAGGAGATGTACACAGGACCTCATGTGTTGCCCTCCATCCGTAGATGCGGAGGGTCATGTTCCAAGTGACTGAGAAATAAATATATTGGTTTTTGTTTTCTTCGGTCATGTTACACCTCATCCCATCGGGTCCCTGTCATATGAGATATTTTTGGTTTTGCATCTAGCTGCCAGTACAGACCAATAAAAGCTAAGAAAAGTGACATTTTTAAAACACTGACCAGTTCACAATGAGCTTGATAGAAAGCAGGATCCTTCGATGGCCTGAGCAGACCTCACACTTTTTGCTACCTAAGGCATTGCAGTCCCTACAACTGGTAAGAAATAAAAATGAATGAAAAGATTTTTAGCACTGTGCATTCTACAACAAATTTGATAATAACAAAAACAAAAAAATGTACCGTTCGTATCACAATCCACCACAGACGATGCAGTTCCTCAACTCTGGAGAGTAAATGGAATAACCACTGCCATGACACTCACTGCATTCTATCTGAAAGACATAAGACAACCAGGAAAACATGAGCTTAACAGCCTGTGTGTGAATTTCCCCTCTCAAAGCCTACTGGGTACTTACTGAACCAGTCCCATGACACAGCGTGCAGGTGATGATTCCAGTTTTACAGCGGTAGCAGTCCTGTTGATCAAATTAAACTCTTTTAGAGGCAGTGCAATGTTGCCACTCAAGCAAAGTAACTGAATGCAGTGTAGGTGAGGCAGCCTGTTAGCTTTAAAATAGAAATGAATACAATGAATATCAGCTGTTTCCAAGCTAAAAATTTAGCGTAGACATTTTAGAGTCACTTTCTTATTGAGATTTACAGTAGATGAGAAGAGCAGTACTGCTCTTATTTCAGCATGGTAGTTATGTAGCATAGCCTAGCTTAGCATAGACCTGAAATGGGGGGAACAACTAGCATGCACTGTGCAAAGGTAACAAAATGAGCCTACCAGCATCTGTGAAGCTCACGTTGTATCATGTTTCTTTATTTTGTACAAGCATGAACTAGGAGTGTAACATTACTAACAAACAAACAAACACGGGCTAAAACATAACCCTTAGCGGAAGTTATGAACAGACAGAAATAAGAGTTTCCATTCTCATCTAACTGTCAGCAAGAAAGCAAATAAGCATATTTCCCAACTACAATATGCAGTATATTTAAAATACTCTACCTCCACTTCTTGCTTATACTACAAGTAGTCATGTATTTGACCTTGAGCTTGATAGTTGCCTCAGTAACCCTTACATTAATATTTAGCATCATTGCCTATTGTACTGAATAGGTTGTGTAAAGTTTTCCCCTCTGAATGTTCAGAATGATCACTGTGAGATGGGACCCGTACCTGCACAGATGTTGTGTGTGGCACCTGAATGGCTTGCTCTACATTTTGAAAAAGCGTAGGGGCATTAGCTGGAATCTCCCATGGTAAGGGTGGGGTTTGTTCACTCATGTCTATCTTCTGACCTGACGCATAAACACATAATACTGTTATACTTCACACACTGTGATCAAGTCTGAGCATCTGAGGTCATGACTAAATGTTTCTTGGCTGTGTTGTCTCAGGTGCATGTTTGAACAAAGAGCTTTACCAATGTACGGCACACGACTCCACACTGTAGTTCGTTTCTCCATGTATGTCTCCAGGCTATACTGAAGAAAGCAGAACATAAACAGATCACAGTTTGATAGAAGCAACACAGGCCAAAGCAGTTGATTAACTTCTCTGTTAAATGTTGTTTCAATCTGATGTACAATGCTAAATAAAAAACTAAAAAAAAGTTGGCCTACGTTTTCTGCCTTAGGTTTCTTGAGCGTTGGCAACAGTTTTGCGCATTCTGTAAGACAACACTTGACTTGTACTACCTGCTTCTCCTCTCAGTATATAAAGGAATAGGATGCCTCAAATATACACTCAAATAATAGGCTTGGGATGATAAAAATTGGCCTTAAACAATATTGATGCACCCATTATGTACATGAGAATAAGTCGCTTTAACTTTCCTACTTTGTATATATCAAATGCCTCCATGTTGGTGATCACACACTGCTCTGCTGGTTTGGTGCTGTCGTAGCTTTGCTCTGACACATACTTGATGAGGGCTCGCCGAGCATCTTCCTTACTGGGGGTTGGGAAACTGTAAAACAGACATTTCTCAACAGCTGAAAGTGCACACTTACACAAGAATGAGAAAATTCACAAGTTAGTCACTTTATTAAGTTTATCCAGTTATGTTCAACTGCATGTTAAAGTCCGTCCAAAACAAACTGGGTTTTAAATTATGGTCTCAAAAATGTTACATGATCTGTATGATGGCATTCCAGTGGTTAAGGGATTACCACCAGTTAACAGCAACAAACACATTTCATTTAGTCACAGTTCTACTTTGTCTCCTATAAATTTTGTTACTGTGACAGCAAATATGTTTTGCTTGAAAATAATTTAGACCGAGTTGCATTTTTTGTTTAAGTAATGAAGAGACAATAAGCAAAAACATGTTGTTAGAACAGACACTTCGTATTTGCCTCAACAGGTTGTACACTGTATATAATTACAAGCAAGCAAGATTTGGCATTTTAATGACCACAAATGTCATGTCAAATGTCAAAACTATTTTAGGCTTGATGTAACCAGTGTAGTGTGCAAAATATTTCTGGAGACTTACTCCCAGTTTGAATATGAT